TTGCTTACCACTTTCCCTGACGACCTACTGTAATTTTATTAGTCATGTTGAGTTTTTTTTATTGTGATTATAATATATTTTGATTCAATGTTGTAGGTCTGATAATGGCACGAGACATTATCGAAATGTCACTTAATAAATATTTTGCTGTTTATCAATACGTTGGTATTATCGTCTATTCGAAGATAAAACACGAGAATGTGTTCGGAGTGGTAAATTAACAGTAGTATTGCTGTTGGTCATTTTAATTATATTACTATATATTCCTTATTTATAATAATTTGTAGAATGTTATTTGTGGTTAAGAAATTGTGTAGTTGCACCGGTTTGGTGTGGCGCCTCTACGCTATTTTGTTTAGTGATCTTGAGCTTTTGAGTTATTCCCTCTCTGGGGGTGTCGTGAAGGATAACATATGGGCGTAAAAACTTCCCTCTCTAGAGGTGTTGTGAAGGATAACATATGGGTGTAATACTTCCCTCTCTAGAGGTGTTGTGAAGGATAACATATGGGTGTAATACTTCCCTCTCTAGAGGTGTTGTGAAGGATAACATATGGGTGTAATACTTCCCTCTCTAGAGGTGTTGTGAAGGATAACATATGGGTGTAATACTTCCCTCTCTAGAGGTGTTGAGAAGGATAACATAGAGTGTAATACTTCCCTCTAGAGGTGTGAAGGATAACATATGGGTGTAATACTTCCCTCTCTAGAGGTGTTGTGAAGGATAACATATGGGTGTAATACTTCCCTCTCTAGAGGTGTTGTGAAGGATAACATATGTGTAATACTTCCCTCTCTAGAGGTGTTGTGAAGGATAACATAGATACTTCCCTCTCTAGAGGTGTTGTGAAGGATAACATATAACTTCCCTCTCTAGAGGTGTTGAGAAGGATAACATATGGGTGTAATACTTCCCTCTCTAGAGGTGTTGTGAAGGATAACATATGGGTGTAATACTTCCCTCTCTAGAGGTGTTGTGAAGGATAACATATGGGTGTAATACTTCCCTCTCTAGAGGTGTTGTGAAGGATAACATATAGGTGTAATACTTCCCTCTCTAGAGGTGTTGTGAAGGATAACATATGGGTGTAATACTTCCCTCTCTAGAGGTGTTGTGAAGGATAACATATGGGTGTAATACTTCCCTCTCTAGAGGTGTTGTGAAGGATAACATATGGGTGTAATACTTCCCTCTCTAGAGGTGTTGTGAAGGATAACATATGGGTGTAATACTTCCCTCTCTAGAGGTGTTGTGAAGGATAACATATGGGTGTAATACTTCCCTCTCTAGAGGTGTTGTGAAGGATAACATATGGGTGTAATACTTCCCTCTCTAGAGGTGTTGTGAAGGATAACATATGGGTGTAATACTTCCCTCTCTAGAGGTGTTGTGAAGGATAACATATGGGTGTAATACTCCCCTCTCTAGAGGTGTTGAGAAGGATAACATATGGGTGTAATACTTCCCTCTCTAGAGGTGTTGAGAAGGATAACATATGAGTGTAATACTTCCCTCTCTAGAGGTGTTGAGAAGGATAACATATGGGTGTAATACTTCCCTCTCTAGAGGTGTTGAGAAGGATAACATATGGGTGTAATACTTCCCTCTCTAGAGGTGTTGAGAAGGATAACATATGGGTGTAATACTTCCCTCTCTAGAGGTGTTGTGAAGGATAACATATGGGTGTAATACTTCCCTCTCTAGAGGTGTTGTGAAGGATAACATATGGGTGTAATACTTCCCTCTCTAGAGGTGTTGAGAAGGATAACATATGGATGTAATACTTCCCTCTCTGGAGGTGTTGAGAAGGATAACATATGGGTGTAATACTTCCCTCTCTAGAGGTGTTGAGAAGGATAACATATGGATGTAATACTTCCCTCTCTAGAGGTGTTGAGAAGGATAACATATGGGTGTAATACTTCCCTCTCTAGAGGTGTTGTGAAGGATAACATATGGGTGTAATACTTCCCTCTCTAGAGGTGTTGAGAAGGATAACATATGGGTGTAATACTTCCCTCTCTAGAGGTGTTGTGAAGGATAACATATGGGTGTAATACTTCCCTCTCTAGAGGTGTTGAGAAGGATAACATATGGGTGTAATACTTCCCTCTCTGGAGGTGTTGAGAAGGATAACATATGGATGTAATACTTCCCTCTCTAGAGGTGTTGAGAAGGATAACATATGGATGTAATACTTCCCTCTCTAGAGGTGTTGAGAAGGATAACATATGGATGTAATACTTCCCTCTCTGGAGGTGTTGTGAAGGATAACATATGGTTGTAATACTTCCCTCTCTAGAGGTGTTGAGAAGGATAACATATGGGTGTAATACTTCCCTCTCTGGAGGTGTTGTGAAGGATAACATATGGTTGTAATACTTCCCTCTCTAGAGGTGTTGAGAAGGATAACATATGGGTGTAATACTTCCCTCTCTGGAGGTGTTGTGAAGGATAACATATGGTTGTAATACTTCCCTCTCTGGAGGTGTTGTGAAGGATAACATATGGTTGTAATACTTCCCTCTCTAGAGGTGTTGAGAAGGATAACATATGGGTGTAATACTTCCCTCTCTGGTGTTGTGGTGTTGTGGGAGAGCTAATGCTCTCTTCTCTCCATATCACCAACCAACCAGGAGTCAGTCGACCGTTTCTGCTCAGAGTGTGAAGTACAAACCTATTAGGACAACTGAAGATAAGTGTTGTGTAAGTACTGTGGAATTGTTGTGATCGATATAAAGTGAAAAGACTAAGGAATTGTACACTGGTAGTGTGCTGACTGTATATATTTGAAGTGAGAAGTCCAGCTGTGAAGACATTACCCTGTGAACAGTGTTGTGAAGAATTAGTGATTATTAAAGAGGCCTACAGTGCACAAGTGTGTTTCTGGGATCTGGTGAAAATCTCCTTGCCTGTTGTTTGTCTGTTCACTGATACCCATCGTCGGTATATTACCGGGGACTGGAGGGACAGCCAGTGGTAATTCGACGACACTTGTATTATATCTACTGCTTCTGTACATACGACCTGGCCGCTGGTAACCAGTGGTGGAACCTGGGTAAAGAGGGTCGTAGGAATATAATATTAATATGTATGTGATAATATATCAATATGAATATAATAAATATGAAAGTAATAATATAACAGAATACGAGTATTATAGACTGTCATCAACCCATGTAGAAGTGGTCAGATTTTGGATAATACATGACTTCAAACGTGTACTGTGCCACACCCAGAGGATGATTTTTGACAGACAACCTGAATTCAATAGCTAAGAGGCCATGGTGTATGGGAATTACCATCCCGTTAAATCCAAGGGGGTGCTGGCTCATGACTATAATAAATGAGGACTCCAGCTAAGGTGGTCACGCTCATGACTGCGGTTCCTTATCGTTGACCAAGGTGGTTTCGGGAGTACTTGTCTCGTTCTAAAGTTACCACTATTAGTAAAATCAATTGAGAGCTGTAATTCCCTGGGTATCAAATCCTTGAATCAAAAGTATCCTTGTATAGTTCTACAGATTTAAAGATTGCTGAAAAGAAAGTTAGAAATAAAATTCATGTAATAAATCAATGAGTGTGTAAGATAATTAATGTAATGGTTTTGATGATATTATGCTGATCTTGTGGGACGTAACTAACATGGCCCTACCATAGGTAGGTGGAAACCTTTGCCATACAGGAACGCATACTATCCCTCCGGCACATTAGAACATAAGAACATAAGAAAATAAGGAGTCTGTAATAGGCCGGTTGGCCTGTGCATGGCAGCTCCTGTCGAGAGTTACTACCACTCTCTATCATCCATGAATCTATCCAGTCTCCTTTTGAAACGTTCCAGCGTTCAAGCACTTATTACAAAGTTGCTAAGCTTGTTTCACTCGTCCACCACCCATATTCCACTCGTCCACCATGATGTATGGATCATTACAGAAGTCACCAGACCCCCCCTGCCCCGCGCGATACTTTTTTGTTTTACTGTCTGTACGTAGGTTATCTGTAAATGGAAATAGTGATGGGATTGCTTTATCTTTCTACCGTGTAACTATATAAATGGAGGTTTACGGTACTGGGCTACTCATGGTTACGCCATTTATCTAGATACGGCACCATGAGAGAAATATCAAGTAATACCTCCCCACTACCTCCATTTGCAGAACACCATAATTCAAGCTGCCAGATCTGATATTCGTCTTCTTTTACTTGCATTGTTAATGTTCATGTTAAATTACTTTCCTCGAGTGTCGGAAAGCTGACTATAGAACCACAAAGAGAACTGATATGTCATGGCTGTGATATGTGGTGTGGAAATGTACATTTTTCGAGGTTAAAATTACCCACAATATTAGTTGTGAAGTAGAGGAAAAATGTGGGTAAACTACTTAAAAAGAACACCAAACAATCCTTTGAAAACCTTACCTAACTTTTCCTAAATTGCAAAAATGTTAATAATCACTTTTGAGTTATGGCTCCCTCCTCATCTGAACACCGAAAACAACACCAACACACACACACACACACACACACGCACACACACTAAAAACCGAACACAACACCATCATCTACTAAGCCCCGAAAACATGAATAATGTAAACATTTTATAGTTTTAGGATTTTTAAAGGTTGAGAAACGTTAGGTCAGGTTTTCAAAAGTTTGTTTAGTGTTTTTTTAGTATTTTACCCCACATTTTCCCTCTACTTCAAAGCCCTGCCCACTTTGAACAAGTAATATTGTTAGTAATTTTATCGGTTAAAATACTCGAAAATATACATTTCCGACGGAAACGTTATTGAATAAATAATTTTTAGTTGTTTTTCTCTTTCTCCCTATATAAAACTCAATGTATAAGTAGGTGTTGGCAACTTCTAAATATTTACTTTTGAATATATATCTCCGAAACATAGTAACTTAATTAAATATTTTGTAGAAAGTAGGTGAAAAATAAGCAGTCGTGGGTAGAACCTTTGAATTCAATATTGTTCTTCTCTTATTAACAGGGTCCCCAAGGACCTATGGGTCCGCCCGGTCCTGAGGGGCTGAAGGGTACAGCAGGTGATCGGGGTCAGCCAGGTTTGGCTGGAGAGCCGTCACCACCCGGCCAACCTGGACCCCAAGGTCCTCAAGGTATGCAGGGAGAACGCGGTGAGGAGGGACCACCAGGTTCCGGTGGACCTCCTGGACTTCGGGGACCACCAGGCAACCATGGACAAATAGGAATCATTGGTCCTAAGGGACATGCTGGTTTACCAGGACTTAAGGTAAATTGATACTTCATCCGTTCATTATCTATTTATTTATTATTTATTTATTTTTATAACAAAAATAAATCTTTTGGCATCTTATAAATACTGATTTGTTTGTTTTAATGTTAATGTATGTATTCAGGGAGAGCCTGGCAAACCTGGTCGTAGGGGTGAAGTTGGCCCCATGGGAGGAGTCGGTAGTAGAGGACCAGCTGGCCCTCAGGGTCCACCGGGACGCCCAGCAAAAGACGGTACCAAGGGAACTCGGGGCATTCAGGGACCTGTCGGCCCTCGTGGCTTGCCTGGACCTTCCGTAAGTCTTAGCAAGTATTGTTACCTTGTAAATCCTCTTATCATCACTCTTTTTGTTATTACTTAATATAAGGATGGGTGGATACGTAGATCACTTTTATCCTAAGGGTTGCTGGTACGCGACTAGGACACCCTCAGTTCACCCACCTGTAAATGGGTACTGAACTTTGCAAGTGGAGAAGTGAAGGTGGTCAAGTGCAGTGCCGGCCATACTACTGTACCTCCTTGTGTACCGAAAGCTTAGTGTACAGTGAGTGGGTCCATACCGCCTCTGGTGAATATATTGTAAACAGTGAGGAGGATATTGTTACATCGGAATTATGAATTTTTTCTCTTCTTTAGGATCTAAAATTAGAACGTTTTATGTATGACGTGATAACTGGTGTTGGTGGTGGCATAACGAAGAATTGTGTGAAGTATTGATACACTATAAAAGCGTTCCTGGACACTCTTACAATATAGTACAGTACCACATACAATATGTGTCTTTTGTGTGTAGCAGTGTACTCTAGTTGTGGGTTTATGCCACTGTGATGTGTATCTCCAAACTACTTAATATGATAGAACGAAGATTATATGTACAGTAAAATGGTCGTGTCTATCCTATTGAAATTAAAATTATATTATTCTTAGCTTAAACTGAAGTATCGGAAGTATAGTGGTATAGTAATACACGCTTTAAAATGCAAAAGTCGTTTTTTTTATCAAATAGGGATATATTTTGGTTTTTATTGGTACAAATTAATGGAGTTTAATTCGTTTATGGCCAATTTATTCTGTTTCCTTTAAGACGTCGTGAACTATCATAAGATAGTCAAATTATGCTAAAAGTAGGTAGGCTAAGTGAGGTTAGGTTAGGTTAAGTTAGGTTAGGTTAGGTTGGGTTACGTTACGTTACACTACGTTACGTTACGTTAGGTATGCATTTACGTTTTACTATTATATAGAATAGATGATCGTCTATGGTTAGTCAAAGGTTTCCTGAAATAAGAAATATGTAAAGGTTATCAAAATTTCACAATTACTTTTATTTTATTTATTTATTTATTTATTTATTTTTACGGGATTACCCCACCAGGGTACAAGTCAATGACCCACATCAGGGCCTGGGGGCGAGAATATAATAATAATAATAATAATAATAATAATAATAATAATAATAATAATAATAATAATAATAATAATAATAATAATAATAATAATAATAATAATAATAATAATTAGTAAAAATTAATAAAAAATAAAATAAAAAATATTAATTAAATATAAAATAAGAATAAGAATAAGAATGCGAATAAAGGACCATAAATAAATATAAAAATATAAAAAGATCGGCAACCCGGGACTTGGTCACAATTTTTGTGATGCCATATGGCAGCAGGGTCTACCATAGACAACACATTATGTTTCCACACAGGAAAAGGGAAACAATGGATCACCTTAGCTTTCGCCTCTCAGTCCCTGTAAATTCAGTTGCCTCTGAAGACGTCTTGAATATATAGACGAAAGCTAAGGTGCTCCAGTGTTTCCCTTTTCCTGTGTGGTCTTATCCAGATTTATCTTGCGAGAGAGAGAGAGAGATAATATAGATTAAAATCAGCACTTGGTAAAACATCATAATTTACTGGGTAGAGACAGTTTAGGAGAAACTTCCTCTATCAACAGAAAATCTAAAACAAATGACACCGAGTAGAACACGTACTGTACTGTACTGTACTGTACTGGACTGTACTGTACACTCAACTGCAGAAATTATTAACAACTGTCAAAACTTTCACTTGACAGAAGAGTAGCTGAAGAAATTAGCCCGTTGAGTTTGTATCTTATTACTACAGCTGACGAGGCAGGAATACGAGGCGCAATTCATAAAGATATTTTAGTTATATTTCTTTTAACTAAAGACTCTAGATATGAGTAGACTGTACAAAACATTCACTTCTGAATTTCTGCATCATGTTGGTGCAATCAACTAAGATCCCCACATAAACTTTGTTGCTCTTCTTTCACTGCAATTCTCGAGCCATCTAGAAAAATAGGAATAATTGTGCCTGAAGTTCCAAGTCAGCCATAATTTTAATATTCCTTTAAATTAAATATCGTGGTGCATTGTTAAAAACAATAAGTGACGTATTGTCTCTAACACATGTTAATATATTTGTTGCAAATATGCTACAGGGTCCGTCAGGTCCTCTTGGTCCAACTGGGTCACCTGGCCTTCCTGGCTTCATGGGTAAACCTGGTCCACCTGGACCCCCAGGTCCTCCTGGTCCACCTGGTGACTCAGCCGCTCAACCACTGCAAGTAGCTGGAGAACGCGTATATGGTCTGCCCGGTGTGATGGGTCCTATGGGACCATCAGGCCTTGTAAGTACTCTAAAGTGTCTTGCCTTAGTCTTTGTTCGACATGAAATAACTGTTTTAATAGAGTCTTAAGCTCCATAAGCTATAATGTTTAGTGTTATTTGACCAGCCTGGTGAGCGTGGTGCAGATGGTTCCCGAGGCCCGGAAGGGAAAAGAGGTCATCCTGGCCAATCTGGACCTGCTGGACCATCCGGTCTACCTGGGTCTCCGGGTCAGCGCGGACCTCCTGGTAATAGTGGTATACCTGGTACACCGGTGAGTTGCTAACATACAAACAATTATTTCTTTAATCTTACCTGGAACATTTATTGCTTGATTATAATAGACAAAATATTTGTAAAGAGAAACAAGCAGTAATAACAGAATCTTCAAATCACAGTATTGCTCTCTGGATAACAGTAATCTTTAAATCACAATATCGTTCTCTCGATCAATCAATCAGCGCACCGTACCATCCTCATATTTGGGGGTTAGCGACCACAATCATCCACTCTAAACGTTCTCGGGCTGATTTTACCAATCCTCCAAGGCTTTGTCTCTCTTTTTAGGGACCCAGTTTATAATTTCATTCATCCATCCCAGTCTCTGCCTTCCCTTTTATCACTGATCTGTTAATAACTTTTTGCAATTTCTCTTCATTTTATGTGATAAGAGCTGTGTCATCTGCATACCGTATATTTGATATTATTTTACCAATAATTTTTAATCCTTCATTATCACTTATAACTTCTCTCATTAAGAAATCTGAATATATATAATACAATGTCTTACTTCTTATCTAACTGTGAACCAATTAGTAAGTTCATTATTTACTCACACTGCAGCCTCCTGTTGCCAGTAAAGATTTTAAAAATTATAATATCTCATTCACTAATGCCTATTTTATTCGAGACCTCGATAAGTTTATTGTGTTTTACCTTATCAAAAAGTTTTCAAAATCTACGCAACAAATATAAAAATTTCTTAAGACCTCTGAAAGCCTTTCATTCGAAATTCTCAAGCCAAATTTAGTTTCTCTTGTTCTTTTTCTCATTTTAAATCCATTTTGCTCTTCAAATAACTCACTTTCTATTATGATTTTATTCTATTTAAAATTATATTTAATAAGACTTTGCAGGCATGACTTATTAAGCTTATTGTTCTAAACTGGGTGCACTAGGAAGGTCTCCTTTGAAATATATAGAATTACATAATTTAGAGAAACATTTATTCCATTTTCATATAATTTTTGTTTCTTACTTTTACGCTATCCCTATCATTGTACAGTTCTACGTACTATTTTCTTTCAATAGACCCACCCCATTTATTTCTTTATTCATTTATTTAATCTTTCTGTACTGTACATTTCCCTAAAATTATGCCTTCTGTCATCATCTTCAATCTCTTTGCATATCGTTTCCAGATCATCTTTCTTGGCCTGTCTGCATTCTCTTTGAATTTCGTTGTTAATTTTTATGTAAGCCTCACTTCGTTTTCTCATATTTCATTGTCTATCTTTTTTTCTTTATTCTTTTTTCTTTTTAAATCCACTTACTTTTAGCCTCGGACTTCCTATGTCCTAAAAGCAACCTCTAACATTATTTCTTTGTAATTATTAAATTGTTGTCCTGGTCCTTGTTCATCAAAGTCACTCTTTAGCAATACTGATAATCCATTTTCCTTTTCATTTTCTCATTCTATCCCTGCCCCGGTTTTGAGTTTATCTACCCTAACAAGTATCTACTTTGCAATAGTATGCACTAAGTCGTGTTGCTTGTAGTAATTTCCTTCACTTATACAGCAACAACGTCAAATCAAATTCAGCTTTAAAGTTTGCCATAATAGTTTGAATTATGATATATTCACTCTTTGACAACTGTTACCATTTTGATTTGTCTTCAGAAAGTAAAGAAGAAAGATAAGTAAGAATGATGTATAATTCAGAGGTGGGTGGTAAATGGAAGAGTAGACAACTACCTCCACTGTTTTATGAGAATGTTACAGCATTAAGATTGTCAACAAATAGAGCAAATGTTTGATCTTGGTTTTGGCATCCCCACAGTATAGGGGGAAGATCCTTAAACACCGAGTTCAAACCAAAGATCAAACCATTCTCTCAAAATATATGTAATTTTTTATGGATGAAAAATGTTTAACAATTGTTTCTATTGGTTCTCTTTCGTGTGACACTCTGCCATTTACTTGTGGTCATTATCTCACGAACGTGTCTGCAGATTCTTTCCATACCTGAGATATACACTCATCCACTTACTGGCCATTTTAGGTACAAACTTTCACAACCGGGTAGAGACATCTTTCCTATATAACACCTTGACTATTCTTCGGCTTTCATCCAGACAACACTAGACGTCTTGTAAAATACTGTATTATACATTTTGGAGTTCATATTCCTAAAAGTTTAATCAAAATATAATTTTATTGGTTTTCCCTCATCTTACTTTGTTTCCTGACCACCTCAACCGCTGTTCCTTATGTCTGGTACACTATACCTTTGTAGTCGTGTCGTACGAAGTTCTCGTATGGCAGTTTGATTTGATTTGATTTTGCCGCTTGCAGCGGCTACTTTATTGTGCACCCCACACTCATCCTGTGAGCGGTAGCGCAAAAGGATTACAGAGTAGGGTTTACAAAGGGTCATAATAATTAACCCCCGTTGTCAGGATATTATGGCACTGAAAGTTACACAGTATTTCATTTACATTATTTGTTTAGTTCTATACATAAAGGGTAACTTATTCACAAATGAGTGAGAACAGGCGTGTGAGGCAGTATGTCTGGCCTCACACTTTGTTATTCACATTTACGTGGGAGGTATTCAAGCACATTGCGTATTTGGTTCTGTACATGAGAATTGATATAGTTACTAAGTGCAAAAAAGTGGATACAATCTTAATATGTCGGCTATCTTGCCATTAGAGATGAAGTGTTGTGCCATTTCACACACAGTGTGCTTGGACCTGTCCCTAAAAGTTCTATCTTCACACAGTCGAGGACGTAGTGTTCAAGTGTGTGGCCATATGTATGGCCACACACTTTACATTTAGTTTTGTTTACATCTGCTTGAGGAACATACTGCCAAAGGTACTTATATCCTAACCTTAATCTAGCGGTTACAACATCTTGTAATCTAGTGATCTTGTTACTTGCTCCATATACATGTTTCACTTGATACATCTCATCATGGTAACCTATGGATCGACTAGTGCCTGTTTGCACTAGTCTACTTGCGTCAAACTCATCAATAAGTTCTTTCCTAATTACAGTTTTAAGGGTTCTTTTTGACAGACCCAAATTGTATTCAACGGTGTCTTTGTTAGACGCGAGTTTGGCGAGGGCATCAACTCTGTCATGTTTTATGAGGCCTATGTGAGAGGGGATCCACAACAGTTTGACCCTGACACCCCGGTCAACAAGGCACGCATATTTGTGTCTGGCTTCAGAGACAAGAGCGTGACAACCTGAGTCGAGGGTACCAAGGGCAAGTAGTGAGGATAGAGAGTCAGTGATGATGAGACTGTCAGTAACAGTGGTTTCAATGAATTTAATAGCTGTGAGTATGGCAACTAATTCAGTTTGTAGAGTGGATGCCCAGTTGTTAATTCTAACTCCTTTCTCAATTATATTACCGTCAGGTTGAGTCACAACAATAGCACTTCCAGCCCTCCCACAGGCGGTGTTTAGAGATCCATCAGTGTAGATGGTCTGTGTGATATTATCATCAGTCTGTAGAGTGTGTATGTGTTCAAGAGCTCTCAATTTGGCAGTGTGTTGGAGATAAATGCTTTGTATAATTAATTTTTTAGGCGGATACGTCGGTATTGTGATATCGAAGGGAACTGTCCGCCAGGGTGGCAGGAAGCGCTGTTGTGTCTCAACTTTGTACAGGTGGTCTAGTCCAAACATCTTCATATGTGTAGCTGTAGTTCGGATCCATTTAGACTCAGTAGTCCCATGGTTCATACATTCTAGCAATTTCCCTTGCAGCAGTTCCTTGCAGCAGTTCCTTGCAGCTCATTGGCTCATATATAATGTTCGATTAGTATTGATATATTCGATTAGTATTGATATATCGCAAATAGATCCATATAAAACTGTTAAGGATACCCAGTTCTGGCTCAATTTAATGTTGAATTTAATGTCTGTAAATATATAACTGCTTGAAAACATTAACTTTCAAGATATGTGGGAAAATAATGTATGAAATAATGAATATTTACCGTCGAAGTCACAAACAAATTAACTCTTTCGGAGAACACAATCCTCACTACTTCATCTTTTTTTCACTAATCATAATAAAGAAAAAGATAATAATGCCCATTTCATAAAGAGTAGAATCACGTAAAGGTATCGTTAAAGGCTATGTCCCAGATGCGAGTGGATGCGAGCGTCCTACGGCATCGAGCGACCAGGGCGTAGACGCGCGACCTACTTTCCAAAGCGTCCTGTGTCCCACCTGCCAGTGTCTTGCTGGCATAAACATGCCGTCTACGCAGCGCAAACATTTGCTGGTACTTTTAGAAAATATTGCTTTCCAACATGTGGTACTTGCAGAGGTACCTATGAAAAAACAGCCCATATATTAGAGGAGGATGGAAGTAGACGAATTTCACCATCTTTACATGATCCAAAGAAGGTTCACGAGTACACCAGAATGTAATCTGATTGAGGACAAGGCCTACCCACTCTGTGTATATTTGTTGAAACCCTATCCGAGAAATGCTCTGAACAAAGAAAAAAAATTACAGATTGCCACGTGCCAGGCGTGTTGTAGAGTGTTCATATGAAAATTGTGCAAGTAAATGGAGAATTTTAAATAAAGCTATTGAAAAAGGGTAGATACTACTGTTAACATTGTAAAGTGTGCTACACTTTGCCATAATATCATCACTGACACAGAGGGTCTGGAAGCAAAGTCATATGCAATTCAAGAATGTACAGTTGAGAATAACACAGCACCTTCTAGAATAATCAAGCAAGATCAAGCTCTTAACAGTGGAAAATCAATGTGAGGACTCGCACAACTGAGGAAGCGACAATCAAAATATTTGATGCTGCTTCCAAGACGCGCGTCTAGTTGTCTAGTTTCCGCTTCCTGGCCGCTCGTGAACGCGTGAAGCGTCTACGTGAGACACATCAAAGAAAACACTCATGTGGTAGCTCGATGCTGCAGGACCCACGCACATAGGACATAGCCTTAGACGAACGTTATGGGAGGTAGTACACACCTTCTCACAAGACTGAGTCATATCTTCTCA